TGTCAAATAAGTGTACTCGGGAGGCTTTTTCTTTTCATATAAGCCACTTCTGATATCAAATGATCAACCAAAAGTTATTATTTTTTATTCCTAAAACTTGAATAGGCGACAAGACTTTTGTTAAGTAGTGTATATAAATATTTTTTCAAAAGAAATTAACAAATAAAAAGATTTTAAAAAATAAGGAACTAAGCTGAAGGAAAATGAATGAAAGAAAAATTCAGGAAAAAGCTAGAAAACATGTAAAAAAAGAAAATTTATAGAAGATATTTAATTTATGTTTACTTTCCAAGTTGAAAACTTATTTTAAACCAGACTAAGAAAAGTCAACCTGATTCTCAAATGTTAAGATTGCTAAAATGTAGATATTAAATATTACTAAGAGAAAGGAGTCTTGAGTAAAAAATCAAATAAGCAAAATAATTAGGGCATACTGGCATTTTTTTAAAGGTTGGTTTTCATTAGAAGATAAATAAACACAGATTCACTTCCTTTTGACTTTGAAGTATAATACACTGAATCTGAGTGCAAAAACATGATCATTATCTACTACAAAACAACAGCTCCAGGGTCTTAAATGTGACTGTTTACATGTAAGACTTGCTTTTGTGTAATAGTTGATGCCCAACATCAGATATGTTCATATCATAATGAAGAAACTCTCTTTATTGCATTTATTTTATGATGGATTCTACATCTACAACATTATTATCAAGTTGCTTGAATGGTTTTGTTAATAAGACAAGAGATGTGTTATTTGATACAATAAAGGAAATTACCAAAACAACTCTTTTGAACAGCTGTGTGGAAAAAATGTTGTTATTGGAAGCATAGAGAGGTAAATAAATGTTTATTCATAACATAATTTTTATCTTTTGTGGCACAGTGACAACACCATCTGGTAGGATTTTGTGATTGATAATTATAGAAGACTAGTTAAAGCATTATGTTGTTGTTAAAAGCTAAAAGTGAAAGACTTTAACATTGTTTTATTAGTGTGGTTATCTGTCTAAGCCCTGTTTTCTTCTTCCTGCTGTGGTTGGTTAGTAGCTGAACTCTGAGTTCTGAGCCTGTGGTGAGATAAATCAGTTTTTGATAACTTAGTTATAGAAAAAGTATAAGTAAATTCTGTAGTAATTTACTTGTTCTTTGACAGTTAAATAGTTGTTGAAAGATTATTTTAGGGAGATACAAAATTTAATAAACAATAAAACAAACGTTAGTTTTGTCAACTACAAAATTGCAGACTACAAAAATGCAAGTTACAAAATCCTAATGAACATTTTCAACCTTATTGTCCAGGAAAAAAGTTTAATTGAACCTATTGTTCACAAGTTGATATTGTTGACACAAATGTTATTGTATACAGTTGAAGTCAGAATTATTAAACACCTTGAATTATTAGCCCCTCTGTTTATTTTTTCCCCAATTTTTGTTTAACGGAGAGAAGATTTTTCCAACACATTTCTGAACATATAGTTTTAATAACAGATTTATTTTATCTTTGCCATGATGACAGTATTCAGCTTAAAGTGACATTTAAAGGCTTAACTAGGTTAATTAGGCTAACTAGGCAGGTTTGAATAAAAATGGTTTCCTCTGTAGACTATAAAAAATATATAGCTTAAATGGGCTATTACTTTTTACATTAAAATTTATTTAAAAATGTAAACTGCTTTTATTCTAGTCAAAATAAAACCAATAAGACTTTCTGCAAAAAGTCAAAAATATTAACATACATACTGTGAAAATTTTCTTGCTTTGGGAAATATTTACAAAAGATAAAAAAAAATTCAAAGAGTATATATATATATATATATATATAAAGTTTTAAAATACCTCAACCTGACATTGATGAAAAATAAAGTCAATACATCATGAAAAATTAAGACCAATTACAGTATAATATTGTTTGTTCTGTGGACAATTGAAAATAAATTAATTATATCATATTAAGAAAAAATATTATAGGAAATACTGTGAAAAATTCCTTGCTTGGTTTAACATAATTTTGGACATTTTTGAAAAAGAAAAATGGGGGCTAATACTTTTGACTTCAACTGTACTTAAAAGTAAAAAAGTCAAATTAATGTGAAATTAATATAAAAGATCTTAAAACAAAAGCAGTGATGAACCAGTTATAGTCAGTTTTCTGTAAAGACATATAAACCTGGCAGATAACGAAACCTAATAAACATTTTAATTATTTTTATTTAGGAATGAAGCTCACTCACACTCAAAATACACTCAAATATAAATATAACATATTTATAATATTTTAATCATGTGCAACAGACATTTATAAAAAAATATTCACAGATAGAAGTAAAAAATGATTTATGAACTGTAATATCTTATTTTGTAAGTTTAAATCTTCTCTTACTCTAAAAAAAAGGTTTGTTATTCATTTATTATACATTTTTGTATGTATTTGTATCAAAACTATCATTATGCTTTCAAAATCCATTTTTTTCTAGTTAATTAAACTTTTGTTTACAGTGTCTGTATGGGTACTTGTCAGTTAAATTCATATATTTGTGATTTTACATTATACATATTTCATATTCGCATATTAGCTTTAGCTATCGTCCATTGCCAAAAGTGTAGCCTGTTTAAATGCCGGAGCATTGATCATTTTATGATGAATATACTGTAAAAGTTTTCTTAGTTTCAAAAGAACTTAAAAAGTGATTTCAGAACTGGGTGAAATAACTAACAACAACTTCTACCAAGAACCAACTAGAGTCCTAAGAAATAAATGTGAAATGAATAAGAGTCACCAGTGACATAAAAGTTACAATCAAAACCCTCCCTCACCCTTGACTCAAAAGAGCATTCCAAGAATAAGAAATGAGGGGGTGAGAACTATGGCAAGCTGTTTTTACATTGAGACTGTTGAACATACTGCTTTTTGTTTTCATTCAAAGTTTTAGACAAGTGGTCAACGAACTTGCCAGTGTCTGGCAGATTTTAGCTCCAACCTTAATCAAACACATCTGAACAAGCTAATCAAGGTCTTATTAGGTATGCTTGAAACATCGTTGGAGCTAAACCCTGCAGGGACACTGGCCCTCCAGGACCAGGATTGGTGACCCCTGTTTTAGACAATCGTGTATTTTCTATTAAGTGCTGATAAATCATTGGGTAAACTTGTGCCTAGTGGTTTCCGGTTTAGTGTTGGCAAGGAGGAAAATAGCAGATATTAATAACTTTAATAGTTTATTAGGTTGTACTGATTTAATTCCCAGTATTGTGTTGTGGCTGGAAGGGCATCAGCTGCATAAAACATATGCTAGAATAGTTGGTGGTTCATTCCACTGTGGTGACCTATGCTAAATCAGAAACAAAAGACTGATTTATAGTTCTGCATCAAGCACACGAGTTTGATCCGGCGCAGACTTCATGCTGTCGCATAGAATTCGTCTTGACTTGTGGCTGATGCCGACGCTGACATGCACCTCTTAAAAAATGTAAGTACATGTCCCATTGACCTGACATATCACAAGCTCTGGGAGTGGTTGGCTTGGTTGCTGTGACGTGAGCGGTGCTAAGATCTACACAAGCCTGCTGGAGCGAGTGTTTAAAAGTGTCGCTCCAGATGGAAACTTGTTTTGTGTTTACCTTATGATTAAAGTTGTTGCACGTCCACCAGTTCCCGCCTCCGAATGAGCGAGTTTTAGCTACTTGTACGTTAAGGTAGCATTCAGAAAAGAAAAACAACACCCACGAAGAAACTCGACACAGAGGAACAAAAAAACTTTCTGCCTGCTTCAGAACATAAACAGTGCGCAGAAGTATAAATGCACGACTACACACAAGGCTGGCCATAGGTCACACAGATTAATCGATGCAGAACTGTAAACCAGCCTTAAGCCAAAGGAATATGAATAAATTAATTATTTATTAGACACTAATATATTTTACTAATATAATTTTATATCTTTTAAACGTTAGTCAAAACTGCTTTTTTACTAGTTATAGTAGGTCCACACGGAATAAGTGCGTTCAGAAATCGGTAGATTTTTACAGATTTCTAGCCCATCACTAAATCTATTTATTTACTTGTGTAAATGTGTGTAAATGTTTATTTGTTCAGTTTTTTAATTATTTTCACTAATATTATTGTGATATAATAATAGTAATAATAAAATGTTTATACGATTCATTTACAATATCGTTTGTAAAGTAATATGTTTTGTCTTTTAGTAGATATTTTATTTGAGAGACTTGCTTTGTTTACCAAAGAAGTTGATCTAATTGGAGCTGCATTGTAAAAATTAAATAAAAGTTAAAAATTTATTATTTGTTGATTTCATACAGTATATTGTTTTTAGTTATGATACTCCTAAAATAATTACATATAAATCCACCGATTTTTTTTTTTTTTAATTCTTAGCAGAAATAGCGAAAAACGTCAGCAGATTCTGTCTGGCCCTTGTAACTTAGAACTAGACAATACTTAAATGCTTATATGTAATAAATATCTTCTAGTATCTAATAAGAACTACTATCTAATGAATAAATACTAATATAACAAGTAAAAAATTTGATCGAATACACACAAGTATCTAATAAGCAGCAGTAAGTATTTATACTTTTAAAGCAGTATTTTAAAAGTGATACTAGTGCCTAATCAATAATTACACTGTATGTAAAAATATGGTGATAAAGATTGGAATACATAGTTAAATCTCTGTCTAGCAATAATAAAATTACTACTCATTATTAGGTACTAATGTGTCATAAATTGGTGCTAAATAAATAAGAACTTATCTATTGATGAATAAACATTAGATTCTTTTACAAATGTATCAGTAAATAAGCACTAGAAGGCAATAATGAGTACTAGAAGATTAAAAGTACATAAGTTTCTTATTTTATTAAATGTTAAAATGGCTTGCCATACAGGAAGGAAATGAGTGGAGTGTTTCAGGTGTACAGTATATATATATTGTCACCTGTTCCTCTGAGAGCTCTTCATAAGTAACTTAGACGTGAGCTAGTCATGATCAACTGGAGTTTGTGTTTATTGTTTTTCCCTACCTTGCTCTTTGCTTGGTCTAGTGCTGGTCCAGACGATTATGATGAGGAAGGTGAGTTTATTAAAAAAAATACCTCTAATTTAGAGAATAAACATTCAATATTTACATTTTAAAGTGACTTTTGAATACATTAGGTGTTGATTATATTTAAATGTTATCTGTCTATCAATGTATCTATAAAGATATGCTATAAGTTAATGATTGAGGAGCGTGAGAAAATGTTTCTCACTGCATTATGAGAGTAAGGAACTAGTGTAGTATTGATCACATACAATAACAAGTCCCACAAATGGAACTGTACACTCACTGGAAACAGGTGTTTGCCCAATGTATGAGTTATAGGTCAGATTTGTAGGATAGGAGCAATTGACACACATTCTTGCCAGTATTCGTTTAGATAAGGTTCAGATGATGATGATGATGATGATGATGATGATGATGATAAGCTTGCTGACAGGCAGCGGTGCACATGCTTTCCTGGAGAGCCACATCAAAAAGCCTGAGGAGGGGGAGGCATTTATATGTCAGCTGGTATCCTGTATACCTTGTCAAAGACTCAGTCAGAACACATTCATGAAGTAAAACCCTGATGGTTTTTTGCAGTGTTGTTTATTAATCTTTTAAAGACAGATAGAAGTATGTGTAATTGCATATACTGTAACGACAAATAAAATGCTGCCAATGATATGACAACGTTTAAAAACATGGGCAAATATAAAACTGCTCATTCAAAGGTTGTACATATAAAAACTCTACCATAGAACATTTGCTCACTGCTAATTTCTGCATGGTGTAATTGACTGTACAGTGTAGTTTTTCTGTACAAAAATCCTGTATTAAACATATGTGTTTACATTGAGTAATGAAAATGACGCATAGAGTAGCAGATCATGGATAATGCTGCCAGTTATCACAAAATTAACTTGATACATACTCGATATGTACCCCTGTATGCATTTCTATATAGACAGTGCAAAATACGTCCCAGGAGGTACAGTGCATTTTTTGCAGTTGTAGTTTGTTACTGTGAATTCACCAGTGGCCATTGTGTACACTTTTTCAGATCTCAAAATTTTCTTTGCTGTTCTCATGTAAATCCACCAGAGGCCACTGTCGACTGATTGACTGACCCACCGACCAATCAATCCCCCCCATCCACCCCCTTTCCTAAACCCAACTGACAGTGTTTTCAAAAGCGATAAAAAAAAGCCCTCACAGTTGCCTGACATTTTAAGATCTTACCACGTTCTCACCCTTTTATTTACTTGTTTATTTTATTTTTTACCTTTTGTTTTTGATTTACCTGCTTTCTGGAACCATTCCTCACTGGACTCAAACCCTGCTGTCTCAGTCAACTCCTCTCTGCATCTCAGATGTACATGGTGCCGTCAGCAGCGTCATACCGCATCTCTGCGTTCATTTTAAAGATGAAATCTTATTATCTTATGTACTTCTGACTATATAATTCACGCTCTCCAGAAATGTATACGGGGGTATGTTTTTACATGTGTTGAAATCTACAGTCCTACAATGTTTATTTTTAATGGAATTGGTTAGCTGAATGGCTCAAGTTGCTTTTGTGGTACAAAAGCCTTTGAAAGAACATTCCAAAAAATCGTTTTTGTTCAAACTACTTATTTAGAATGAGTTGAATCAACATGATTCTTGTGTTTTTTTGGGACAACGTAAGTGTTTTATGTTCAATCTACTTAAATTTGTAAAAACTAAATTAAGTTAATTTACACTGTGTTGGGACAACAGGAAGGAATTGTTTGAAACTCAGCATTTACAGTGAAGTTAGAAATATTCAACATCGCCAAAAAAAAACAAAAAACTGTTCTAATCATGAAATATTAAAGCAATATTTGATTTGAGTGACCAATCAAAATGAAGTATTCAAAAGAGACATATGATAAATCAGCATGCACAATGACAGCTATGAGTTTAAAATCTTTGTGCTGTTTTTGCATATACCTAATCAGAAATGCTTTATTCCTTTTAAGAACCCATAGAAGACATCGACCCGGACAGGATTGTATTTAATATTAGTAAAACACCATATGGTGTTAAAGTAATATGGAGAGTTGCAAATAATAATGCGGACCCTCAGTGTTTTAACACAGAAGTGCAGTACAAGCGCCAATGTGAGAAAGACTGGGAGGTACAGTACTGAGTTCTCACAGACACTTACACATCAACAGAGTTTCAGTAAAGATTATTGCAAGCATCAAACTGAGACATACACAATTGTTTAAATAATGACGGAGTAAGATGCTTGTGAACCTTATGAAATTCGAATCTAGAGAATCTTACAGGCTGTTTTGCTTTCATGCAGAGAAGTCACAGGATCAAACTTCAAAATAATCAAGAGGAGAATCATTTAAACTTGTCTACTTTAAGCACGAAGATGAATTATGATTTCAGAATAAGAATGAAGTATGAGTGTTTGGAAAAGGACTGGAGCAACTGGACAAAAGTACAAAGTTGGGGAAACAATAAAGGTATAGTTTCTGTTTCTTTGTGTTATATAAAATAAACATAGGATCAGATTCATCCCCTGGACTTGTTTTGATGATACCAATTTTTTATGGTCCAAGAGCACATTAAAAAAATGATTTTCCTTCAATAAATAAATGAAGAATTTTGTTCACAGATGTCTGTATGGTGAAATCATCTTACTACATATGGGTTTACATTTTGATAATCATGCTGCCACTGATTACCTTTCTTCTCTTTTGTCTGCTGATTCAACAAAGGTGAGAAGCACTTTAATTATTAATAATATTCTCCAAGCAGTTTGTTTTTATTTATTTTTGTTAAACATCTTAACGCTGATGACGTTGTTTGGTCTTGAAAGAATTAGAAAACTGCTTCTTCCTGAAGTACCAGATCCCAAACACTTAAAACATAAAATCATGGACACTGAGCAGTTTCAGGTAAGGCATTTGAGGAGACTTTCATAATTTGTTTTACTGCATACATTTTACACAATCAAATGTGAACTTTGACTAAACTCTGTACTTCAGATATGTGAGGTTTCTTCATTTGTTTAAGTATAAAAATAGACTTATATCTTTGTGCTTGTTGTAGTGCTCCTGTAGCAGCTTGTTAGCAGTTTACATTTTGCAAACATTTCACATCATGAAACATTTGTTTGAGGTCGGTGATGTATGTCATACAACAAAATGTGAAAGTTTTTCCAGCATGTTGTTACATGTAGAACAAATTGTGGATAACTCTCAAAAGTGAGCTCTTTAAAAAAATCTGAGATGTTAATATTTTCACTTTTTCCTCCAGTATATCAAAACATGCATGCACATAAAGATGTTTTGGCAGTTTGTTTAACCTTGCGCTTTATCTGATAATAAACACTGTTACATGACACATTGCTTGCTGATAATTGGAGCAACTGTGCATACAGATAGAAGAATCTCTACTAAAGGCTTTTTTACAATTTATTTATTTTACAAACCCAATGGAAATTACTGTGGGAGCTTACATGTCTCAAGTATTACATTTTTCTTAAATCTGTATTGAAGAACATTTTACACCCATAGGTCCATTTCATGGTGTGAAAGTGTCTTTATATTGATAAACAAATATTCTTTAGGTAATTAAATGTACATGATGTAACTTTGGCCTTCTAGTGGAATAAAACTAAAAGAGTTTTTTTGATTGTGCTTCGACATTGCAAATCTGCCCACACTAGTAAGCAGGTAAGTCTTAAGCCTGACTTATTTTTTTGCCTGGTGCCACGTCACAGACCTCACGAAACAGACAAGGCTTTTACACTTGATGCATTTGCCATTGTGATATTCTTTAAAACGTCAGGAGGGGCGGTCAAAAGAAACCCACCCTAAAATCAGACGGATAACTACGTCATATCATATGTTATAGATTTTTAAACTAATTATTTTATCATTTTTTTATAAAATATTTTAATGATTATAAAGATGTGACGCAGTGGTGCAGTAGATAGTGCTGTTGCCTCACAGCAAGAAGGTCGCTGGTTCGAGCCTCGGCTGGGTCAGTTGGCGTTTCTTCATAAGTTTGCATGTTCTTCCCGTGTTTTCATGGGTTTCCTCCGGGTGCTCCGGTTTCACCCACAAGTCCAAAGACATGCTTTAGGCGAACTGGGTAAGCTAAATTATCTGTAGTGTATGAGTGTGTATGGATTTTTCCCAGAGATGGGTTGCAGCTGGAAGGGCATCCACAGCGTAAAACATATGTTGGATAAGTTGGCGCTTCATTACGCTGTGGCGACCCCAGATTAATAAAGTAACTAAGCTGAAAAGAAAATGAATGAATGATTATAAAGGTTTTGATATCAATTCAAGATTTTTTTTTGTTTCATCACTTGTTTTTGTTCATATCTCATACAGTTCTACCTTTTAAAGTTTATTAAAATATTAATGGCAACAGAACTGTGTTGCTCTACAAAAATATTTTTTATTATGGAAAGAATAATCCATTATCACCAATAAATCCAAGGAAAACAGGGCATCAGTATATTGTAAACTGATAGGTTCAAATATTCTTTATCAGTTATCAAATAAATAATTTGTTACTTCATTTTAGTTTTGTAAGTATTAAATTAAAACCTAAAGGTGGAAAAACAAATATTCTTTAATATTAAATCCACCCATGTCTCCACTTTTGCCATGGCCTCTCTTTTTGGTTTTAACAAACTTATCCCTCAAGTTTTTCTAAACTTTTTAACAAAAAAAATCCCCCTTTCTCTTGCTGTTGCAATTTCTAGCCAAGAATTATTGTCCATCAGGTTATCTCTATGATCACGCAAAAAATCTCTTCAGAGTGATTCATATTCAACTCAATTGAAACGCAGAGCCACACGAACTGTTCGCTCGAGTCTCAAAATGTTTTGTGCCCTCCGCCAGCCGAAATCCTGTCAAACCTTTGCAAACACATCGATGATGTCACATTCGCCTCGCACACTCATGCAAACTATCAGAAGTATCGAGTATAAGCCAGGCTTTACGGTCTTTGCACATTAAGTCTGAAATTTTCATTTGCATTTTTCATAATTGTTATACTTAAATTTCCTCACACATACCTTGTACACTGAGTCAGATGCATATTAATTAATCTGTTGTTGGGAAAAAAAACCACAAACCAGTACAATGTGTCCATTTGATTTAAATGATCCTGAACAGAGACTTGCAGGAACATAATGCCAAAAATGCAACCCAGGCTCATTCTGAAAATGCACCGCTATATACATTTCTGGAGAGTGCCAAATAAGTCCCAGGAGCTACGTTTTTTGCGGCTTTTGTTTTCACAAATCCACCAGAGGCCGCTGTGTATGCTTTTTAAGATCTCAACTTTCTCTTGCGAGTGCCATTCATGCCTGCTGTGGTCATGTAATTCCACTAGAGGCTGCTGTTGATTGACTGAATGGTGTAAGTGTGTGCGTGTGTGTATTTCAAATGGCATTGTGTGACTCATTTCAGAAAGGCTTGAATAAACTCCACTACAAATACATGAAATAAATTTTCTTTCTATGTTTGACTAGTGACCTTATTTCAGCTGCATCATTGTCTGTCTCTATTACTGACTGCTGTTTATCTGACATAACGCATGAGTAGCAGACATGCACATGGGAATGGTGGGCGGAGAGAAGCATCTCATTTTCATTTAAAGCCACAGGCTACAAAAACAGCTACATTGATTCTAGAGGCTATAATAAATTATCTGATGGGTATTTTGAGCTGAAACTTTACAAACACATTCAGAAGACAACAAAGGATTATCTTACATCCTGTTAAAGAGGTCAAATAGGTAAACTGAATGTACTAAAAACATAAAAAACATAAAAAAGTTTATGTTGGACAAGAAATGCATTTGAACTTTGAGCCATCACAACAAAACAAAGTTTCTTGTACATAACATTTCATTTTTTTTTTTCATTGAAAACTTTTAGTTCAGTTAACTAAATAAAATAATATAAAAATAAATATATAAATAAACAAATAAATTACAGTGTATAGTGTAAATGTAAAAACTTGTCATTTGCACTTTTGGAACAGTTAATGTATTATATAGGCTGAGGTTATGATTCAATATTTCTAATGAAATCTTTTTTGCCTGTCATTTCCTTTCTAAGTGGTGGGGAAACCTTACGCAGAGGAATGAAGATTGCCCAACCACAGACGTTGAGATTATTGACAAAAGTGAAAGCGAAGAGGTTCATCAAACTTTGGTAACACAACCCACAGACACCATCCCCGAGCAACATGACAGCATGTACTACATTTACTCCTCTGAAACGCTTGGTGAAAACACAGATCTGCAATACTCGAAGAGTGTGTTAGGGTACATCGCTCTTGAGGACTACAACAAATGATGCTGAGACTCATTGGTGTAACACATTATAAAGTTCACAAGAAGATATTTGATAGTAACTGAAGACCAAGAGTCTAAAGGCCCTGTTAGCACCCTCTGTAATGCCAAATCTGGATTAACAAACACCTTTTTTGCATTGACTGCCATTCAGATGTAGCTATCAATTCTAAGTATTTTAGATTATCGATTGATTGGTTCCTAGCAAACAATTTTGTATTTAATAGACATCTAAATGTAGACAGCTTGACTAAAACAAGGCTAAACTTGGGCTGTCAGTGAAAATCCAATAAGACATTTAAGAAAAGCCCAAAACTAGACTAGTCATCAAACAGACAGATTAGACAGACTTTATATGTGTAGTCATTCATTTCTGTTTATTTGATGATAAGTTTTAGCCTAGATGTCTATTACATTATTATCGACAGCGCAAATTGTTTTAGCCAAGACAAGTTTGTTTAGACATCTATTAGACCTCTTTTAAAAACAAAAAATGCTTTCTGGGGTGGATCTCACTCCTTAAGTCTGCGATCATAACTGTGGTTAATAATAATAACAGTTTAAGCACATCTGCTTGCAACAAACAATGTGCAGTACAATATTTGGACAATGGAGGGCACTCTGACTATCCTGATGTGTTAAAGAGCTGGAACATATCAAAGGCAACAAGGAACACACTCTTCACAGCATCACAGCCTTCTCTTAAGGGAGGATGTACGTTAATTTGAAGACTGATTTAAAAGATTAATGTGAACCTGCATAATAGATGTGCAGTTTCAGTGTGATGGTGAAGCAAAGCCAGGGCAGCAGCCACACACTCCGGTCGCTTGTGATTGATGAACTGGGAGAATGAGCAAATGATCATTTACAGATAGAAGCAAACACAAACACAGGCGGATATACAGTACGAATGGGTACCTGTTCAGCCATACCTGCAGCTTTGAAAAATGGATCAGTGTTATTTTGGTGTGATAAAATAGTAAAGTCTTTATGGCTTCATATAAGTTTTTAAAACTTGTTTGCTTACGTTTTTACTTGCTAATGTAAAGAAATAAATTTTATAATGTTTACGGTTTTATAGGTCGCTCAAACTATTTTGTGACAATCACAGAGCTGTAATGAATTAGTTGCTTTTAATAAACATTTTAATAAAGATGGTGAACTTTCATCATTGCAGATATGTTTATGAACATGATTATCATGTTTAACAGTTCATTAAAGTAAAATCTTGGAGCCAATAGACAGACTGTACAAGAGGGCCTATAAGATCCACAACAGACTTTCTGGATGGACTTTTTAAAAAATCACATGCTCGTCATCTGATGGTCAACTATTGCTGTAGCCACTGAGATAATAGCCTGCTCTTCTCTATTTTATATGTTTAGTGATTGTTTGTACTGTGTTGATGGATGAGATGTCTGTCTGTTTTTATGTTCTGCAGAGCAGGAACCTGCTGATAAACAGCATTCATGCTGAGTCAGGCCCGATTATCTTTTAATCTTTTTCTGTTTAAAACATTATAAATAAATAAATAAAAAATGTAGACAAACCAAATACTAAACCATTTTTACTTGCAAATAGTTACTCTGATAATGTTAGTGGTAATATTAAAAAAAGGCTCAGATCAATTTACATATGGTTTTATGATTTTGCTTCATACTACTATGGGCAAAATAATCATTTACAGATAGAAGTTTTAAAAACTCGTTTGCTTACCTTTTTGCTTGATGATGTAAAGAAATACAATTTATAATGTTTACAGTTTTATAGGTCATCCAAAACAATTTGTGACAATCATAGAACTATAATAAATAAGTTGCTCTTAATAAATATTTTTATAAAGATGATGCACTTTGATTATTTAACAGTTCATTAAAGTGAAATGTAGACAAACCAAATACTAAACCATTTTTACATGTAAATGGCTCAAAATGGGCACAAAGGGATCAGATCAATTTACATATGGTTTTATGATTTTGCTTCATACTACTATGGGCAAAATAATCATTTACAGATAGAAGTTTTAAAAACTCGTTTGCTTACCTTTTTGCTTGATGATGTAAAGAAATACAATTTATAATGTTTACGGTTTTATAGGTCATCCAAATCAATTTGTGACAATCATAGAACTATAATAAATAAGTTGCTCTTAATAGATATTTTTATAAAGATGATGCACTTTGATTATTTAACAGTTCATTAAAGTGAAATGTAGACAAACCGAATACTAAACCATTTTTACATGTAAATGGCTACTCTGATAATGTTAGTGGTAACATGAGACAAAGGGACCAGAACAATTTACATTTGGTTTTATGATTTTGCTTCATACTACTACGGGGCATTACCGTATAAGTAAAATAATAATCAGCTTGATCAGCAGATACAGATAAAAGGTTTACTCAGAATAATATACGATACAAAATAAGATAAATATCTTTCACTCTATGTCATTTTCCATCTACGCCTCTTACTGTGAAACTGTTTTCCAAGAAGGGGGCTGAAGGTGGTATTAGTTCGCATTTCACACATGATAATTTCCCATATGCTGACCACTATTACATCTAACATTTGGGTTAGCTATAGTCACCATTGTGACTCTTAAATCAAAGTTCACGCCAGATAAAACCTTCACACCTCCTCCAGCTTACATAAGAGAAGCAACAAACAGCTTGCTCGATTAATAAAGTATGCTAAATATGGCTTACAGTCATGTTTCTGCAGAGCTATTTAATGATAATCAACGCTCCAACAATTACATCTTTACACTTTACACTTTTAATTATACATTGTGCTTTTCTGTCTGGCAAACGGGAATGAATCGTGTTCCCTGGTGGATTGTTCTCCAGAGCATTAGGCAAAAACATGTGGGTCTATCTGTGATGATTTTTGCTCTTAAATTCCAGGAAACACACGCACACACACAAATACGCAGCAGAAGAGATCAGCCTTGCTGGACTAAAATGTTTTATTTATTGTAATGCTTTAGTGGGGGAAGACCCAGATCATGCATTCATTATCATAAAGGCCCCGAGACATTCAGCACAAAGAGCGAGACGAGTTGCGCTGCTTCAACGGCACCTAAAGAACGTGCAGGTGGAAGAACGAGTAGTTGTGGCGACGTGACAGAAGATGACAATGTCAAAGAAGCGCCATCTCTAGCATATAAACTGTCCCTGAAGCAGACACTTAAGGGAGATGTAAAACACTACACATCTCTGTGTTGTTTTCACTCTCATCAACTTGTTTTTAATATGCTATCGTTGAATCTGTCAGGGCCCCCAGGCGGTAAATGGCGAATGACAAATGTTACAGCAAGCAAACCCACTGGAGGCTGACCATATTGTACCTGCGCCTGGCGTCTTGATGCTTTTATTTATCAAAAAGCTCAAAACTGGCGTCTGTTTTTTCACCTCCATGTCTCTTCCGGGTTCTACTGTATGTGAGTTTGGTGGATGCACTGTAAAACTGATTCTCAATATAAAAAAAAGACCACAGAGGCCCTCTTCTCTATTCAATTATTTAGAGTTGAAGAAAGAAGCAATAGTATCAACATGTTTCCTCAGAAGCCCAAACGTTCAGGAGGAATGAATAACATATTTATATAGTAACCGGTGCAAAACTGCCGGAAATGGAAACAAATACCTTCTAAAGGATTTGTGGGATTGCGGTGAACCTCCGAACACAAGGTGCTGATAAAAGCACTTCTTTTGTATAGTCTTCCCTTTTTTTCATATTCAAAAGAGCTAAGTAAAAGAAATCCACCCTGTTGCCTTTTAATTATATTAAAGCTTTCAAAGAAAGCGAAAACTTCCACTCCTCTTACAGCCGTATACATCTTATAACTCTTTGCACTTGTGTGCTTGATAACATAAAAAGGTGTCACTGCCAAGCGGTGGGGTAATGCCTCTAATTATGTTGAACTGGAATAAATAAATTATTTGCTTTTCACCGGGTGAGTGTGACAGGTTTGCCAACAGCCTGACAAATGGAAGAATCGCTTGCAAATGCAACTCGCGTATATAACGTACAGCGGTGGAAAGCTCCAGACAGGGCGAGAGCTTGACAGCCGTTTTTTCCCCCTCCTGTGTTAACATCCTCAACGCTCTGCTCAAAATAAAGCTCTGTTTGAGGACTATAAGGGCTGTGTTGCAGTGAGCCTAATTGTGCCAAGCCTGATCTGGTATTCATTAGTGCTTATTACTTGTGACCTCACCTGCAAGTCGAGCCTGTCAAGATTCAGCCTGCTCCTTTGGCACTTGCGAAGACTCTCCTCTGTGGTTATGGAAGACGACACTAGACAGACAAATTACATGAACCAAAGGTTTCCAAGTATGAAGCGAGATGTCATTGGGCTGGTGCATCGATTAAGTCTGCTGTACGACAAACAAAGACAAAGAGTAGGTATTTTGGCAGGGGCTTTCCGAAGAAACCATTGTGTTTGTGGGAGGAAAGATTTGATTATTAGTTTTTGCCACTAGCACAGATGAGAGGAGGAAGCCTCGGCGGAGAATAAAGAGGATGTGTGGTTGTGGTGGGCGTGGAGCCGGCAGAGAGTTTATGTTGCATTCAGCGATCTTCAAAGGTCAACTTTAAACTGTACTGTTGTTCCTTAAGGATGAATGGCGTACATTCATTATATAGGCGCTCGGTTTCAAAAACCCTACGTAGGTCGCATTGTTAGGCATTGCAGGCCAGCTCCTGACACTGAGGCTGCTGCATAAGGTTGGCAACATGATTATGCCACGCTCTGAGATACTGTACCTACTTTTTCTTTTTTCTTTTTGCAATAAATGCAATTCAACAATGCGTTGTGAGATTTGTGGAACAAAAGCACAATCAATAATGGTGGATCGCAGATAAATTATTTAATCCAAAACATTGATCAAGAAATTAATCCAATTAAATGCTTACACAATATTTATCCTTTGGAGTAACTTGCCATTAGCCTTGCAATGTGCTAAGCTTGGAACAAATTGAGTAGTGTTGTCTCTCTTGTGTTTTGTGGGAGGAATGCTACATTTTAAAGCAGAAAAGCCATCCCAGATTGCATTGTGAGCTCTGTAGAGAAAAGATTGTGAATGAAGCATAATTCTACCAGAAAGACTCAAATGTTATTTGACAAAAGGATTGTATTAGAAAACGCGCAGTAGGTAGAGCTGTCGCTTTACAGCAAGAAGATCGCTGGTTCGAGCCTCTGCTGGGTCAGTTTGCATTTCTGTGTGGAATTTGCAGGTTCTCCCTGTGTTGGCAT